TCCCACACCTGTAATAACAGCACTTGGTAGGCTGAGGTAGAAGAAAATCAAACCCAAAGCCAACCTTGGACACCTAGCAAGTTCCATGACAGCTATCCTGACCCTGTCTCAGAAACAAAGGCAACATAAAAACCATGAACCCAAATTAAATAAGTAAGTGGGGGCTAGAGAGATGGATCAGCAATTAAAAGTACCAGCTGTTTTTGCAGAAGTTCTGTATTCAGGTCCCAGCACCAACATGGCAGCTAACAACTATCTCTAACTCCAGTTCCAGAGGATATGATACCCTTTTCTGACCTTCACAGGCATTGCACTTACATACACATGGGTGCACTTACATACATGGAGGCAAAACACTCATACATGTAAAATAAAAAGAAATAAAAAAGAAATAAGTGGTCAGGCCCTGGCTGTTCTTTTTCTGTCACTTTCTTTCCAGCCTGACCCTCCTTCTGGTGCCCTAAAGTAGTGCCTGTTCCTCCTACTCCTCCCCCTCCAGTTTTCTTCATTGCGAATCTCCCTCATTGGCTTTATGAGTGCAGGGACCTTGTCAGCCCCACTTTCATTGCACTCTCTTATGAACTTCACACCCCAGAGCCAGGCACACAGTGGGGCCACATTAAATATTGGTGAGCTCATGGGTGTCTTCTGGCTGCTGGCAGGTGCAAGGTCAGTAATGACAAAGATGCCATGGATCTAGGCCATGCCCTGATTTCGAACCCATCCTGCAGGCTTGTCATGTCCCTGAACTCACCTTCAATGATGCCCCACTTGGTCTTCCGGCCCAGTACACACCTCCCGTTCACCAGATGCTCTCGGTCAGCCCCCACCACAGCAAAGGGGATCTGCTCCTAGGGGAGAGGAAGAGGCAGAAGGATGGCCCTCACTGAGGGGAGAGAAGGCACCAGGACATGAGGCAGGTACACAGAGTTCAAAGGCACTAAGTAGAGCTTCCTTTGCCTCCTCTAGGGGCACCAGCAGTGCTGGTACAGGGTTGTGTGAATGTTGGTGAAGTGCTTGGTATAGTTAATGGTTAGCAGAGTAACCCACAGAAGCCTTGCCTTTATTAAGGAATGAATTAATAATACAGCCTTGGGGGTTGAGGGAGAGAGTGTAGCTCAGTACTTAACATGAACAAAGTCCTAGTCCTGAGTTTAATCCCCAGTACTACCACACAGGCACACACAGGCACACACACAGGCACACACACACACACACACACACACACACACACACACACACAATCTTGCTAATATCAAATCCCTTACCTAGGAACAAAACAGTAATTATCTCCAGAGGTTGTCACTGGGGCTAAATAGGAATTGTACATAGCAGGGCCTGGCACATTATGGTTTATGGTCAAATTAGATCAACCACCTCCTGTTTTTCTTCATAAACTTAAAAAAAAAATCTCAGGATAGGTAAGAGCTTACTTAAATTTTTTATTTTTATTTTATTTTTGGTCTTTTTGAGGCAGGGTCTCCCTGTAGCCCCAGCTGGCCTAGAGAATTCGCTATATAGACCAGGCTGGCCTTAATCTCACCGAGATCTGCCTGCCTCTGCCTTCCTAGCACTGGGATTAAAAGCATGGGCTACCATGCCTGACTAAATTTTTTTATTTTAAGTCTATTTTATTATTATTATTATATTTTAATTATGTATATATACAGGTGTGTGTGCACATGAGTGTAACATGAGAGTTACAGGCTGCTGGAAATAGAATTCAGGTCCTCTGGAAGAGCAACAAGTACTCTTAACCACTGAGCCATCTCTCTAGCACCTAATTTACTTATATTTTTGAATTACATTTTTTATTCATTTTGTGTGTGTACATGTGCGTGTACCCACCTTGCAGAAGTCCGAGAGGAAGTTACTGGGGTGCGGCCTGACTTATTTTAAAAGTCTGAAGGATACTTCCGCACTGCTGAGGAGTGCATGATCAGTGCGTGACCATCCTTAAGATACACCCTCGGGGGGAGAGGGGATTTCCAGATGCCTTTATAAGCTCTATAACACCTGCAATAAATGAGTCCCTGCTTGACTAGGCTCCCTGTTGCACCTGGGTGTTCCCGGTACTGGGGGCGGCATGGGCTGGAGAACGGCGTGCTTAGTTATCCCCAATCATCACCGCACGGGGGTCACTGGTTCGAACCCCCACACATGTATGTATGTTGGTATGTGTGAGCCATGGCATGTGTGTGGAAGTTACAGGACAACTTTCAGGGAATTGTTCCTATCACGTGGGTCCTGAGGATGGAGTTCAGGTGGTCAGGCTTGATGGCAAGCACCTTTACCCACTGAGCTATCTCACTGGCTCCTTCAGAAACTTAAAAGAAATAGATTTCGTTATGTAGCCTTTAGCTATACACATGGACTCATACAGAGATAATGTATGTGTAATTTGTCAGTAGGTTATTGGACTAATATTGTTCCCTCTGGTTTTTTTTTGTTGTTGTTGTTGTCTTTTTGAAACAGCGTCTCCTTGTAGCCCCAGCTGTCCTGGAACTCACTATATAGACTAGGCTTGGCCTCTGCCTCTCAAGTGCTTGGATTAAAGATGTGTGCCACCACACTTGGCTTTTTTTTTTGTTTTTAACTAGCTAGGCATTATTTATCTCTCCTCTCTCACTGTTTAACCTTTCTGCCATGGTTTCCCCATTTAAAGTGTCCCCATTTTCCCCATTTCTCCCTTGATAATACCCATCTCCTATGGTCCCACCTCTCTTGAGTTCCTTCTTTTGCTTTATCCACAAGGTTCCTTGTATAACCCTCCCTCCCCTCTCCCATTTAAATAATCCCATCTTTATCCATTTCTCCTTTAGTAACACCTATTTCTTACTGTTATCTCTCAGGTTCTTTCTTTCCCTTTACCTCCCTGGTTCCTTTTCATTATTCTGGTTCCTGTAGTTATATTTGGATACATACTTACGCCAGACAGGAGGTACTTCCTTTGAGTTGTTGGCCAGGGTAGTCCAAGAGACTCCCAAAATTCCTCAGGCCATTGCCACGGCCCTTGATGGCCTCTCAGAACTTGAAGGTAAGACCCTACTGCCGAAGACAGAACATACTTTGGACACAGGATTTGGAGCAATAGAACTGCAACTGACCCAAAACCACTTCCTCTGAAGACTAGCTCTCGTAGCTTTGGAGAGTGCTATGAAGATGCCAAGGGAAAACATCAGTGGATGAGCTTCAAGACCAAATAACCACATCAATGGCCAGCACAGCATACATCATTGGTACAGTAATGGCACTTTTATCTTGGGGGCAATCAACAGCTACGTAGTTGGACTAAATGTTCACTCAATGGGAGGAAACTCAAGTGTGGTACTGTAAACGTAACCAAATACACATGACTGGAGTGGTCATATATCTTAGAAAAAACCCCAAGACTGTCACTTCCCTAGACTAATGTGATTTCTTACTATGTGCAAAACATGTATCCTTATCTTTACAAATATCCCAGTCGCCACTCATCAAAGAAGCTCATTTTGCACCAGAGATTATTACTAAATACCATAATTGGTCACACAGGGAAATTGTCTATTAATTGCCCAGGCCTAAGTGACACATCTATAATGCAACATCTACACCTAAGGCTCATGGATCATAGAACAGGGGTGAAGAAGAGGACACAAATGAATCTCTCAGTCCTCAGTAATGAAGTTCCCTCACGCAGCAGAGGGCCAGGAACACAAAAGGTCACAAATGGCCAAGGCATAGAGATCAAGAGTCTGCTGAATGATGGTTCTTGGACAGGACTCCTTTATTAAACTTCACCCACCCAAGGCTCAGGGACCATCTCGGAAGAGGAGAGGAGGCAGACAGGTTGTAAGAGCCAGGGAGGAGGTGCATGACCATATGGATACAGAGTCTACAAGCTTCTGGGACCCTGCTCATATGATTCTTTGGCAATGGTGTCAGCATACACAAGTCCCATGCAAACTCAGGCAGACAAAAACCCAGCATAGAACTGGGAAAATGAACAACAGACCCTAATCTTAGCTGAAGAAATATTGGCAACTGATTGCTGCTAGGTGAAGAAGAGCTGATCTTCCTAAAACAAGGGACTCTAGATAGGCTGACTAGACCTCAGTGGGTGGACTTGTACTGGGGAATGACTGGGAAAACTGACAACACAATGGGCCTTAACACAGATGACAGTATATGGGCTCCAGTGGGGGGGGGCTATGGGAGGGTGCCAGTGGGGATGGGGTTATAAAGATGATTAAGATTGTTCAAGATGTTCTGTATAAAATACACCAAAAAATTCAAAAAAAGAGAGTCAATAAAAAGTAGATTTTGTTAATTTATTCTTTGCATCCAAAATTTTTTATTTTTATTTACTTTTTTTGGAGAGAGGGTCTCCCTGTAGCTCTAGCTGACCTGGAAGTCACTATATAGACCAGGCTTTCTTGAACTCACAAAGATCTGCCTGTCTCTGCCTCCGAAGTGATGAGATTAAAGGGGCACATCACCATACCTGGCTTTAATTTTTAAAATTATATGTATATATGTATATATATACATAATTTATGTATTTATTTTTTGGTCTTTTTTTGAGACAGGGTCTCCCTGTAGCCCTGTTGGCCTGGAACTCACTTATGTAAAACAGGCTGGCCTTGAACTCATAGAGATCCACCTGCCTCTGCCTCCTCTTCCTGAGTGCTGGGATTAATGGTGAGTGCCACCATGTCCAGCAAATTTTAAGGTTTTTATTAACTTTTTTAGTGCTGGGATGAAATTCAGGGCCTCCATGCATGCTAGGCAAGCGCTATACCCCAAGCTATAATCCCAAATCACTGGGATGTTTCATTACAATTTTTATTTTTACATTTACCTATTGCATGTATGATAGAGGGAGTACTTGTCACGGGGAGGTCAAAGGACAACTTTCAGGAGTTTATTCTCTTCTTCCACCATGAGAGTCCCAGGGATCAAACTCAGGTTGTTAAATTTGGTGACAAGCGCCTTTACCCACTGAGCCATCTCTCCAGGAATGTTTCTTTTTTGTGTGATGCTGGGAACCAAGCCCAGGGCTTCCACATGCTCTATGCATGTGGCTTTACTGGCACCCAGCTAAGCCCATTTGTTTGCTCTGCTCTGTGGCTGCTCTCACACCACAAATGCAGGGTTGAGTAATTGCATCAGAAACTGTTTGGCCCATAACGCCTAAAATATTCACCATCCTGCCGTTAGCACAAAAGTGCGCCAAGCTCGTGTTTCCTCATTCATGGCTCAAAGAGGAAATTGAAACTTGTCAATTCCAAAGAGTTGTATAAGGGTTTGAGATAATTTTTGTTTGGGTTTCTGTTCATCTTTGTGTGTGTGTGTGTGTGTGTGTGTGTGTGTGTGTGTGTGTGTGATGTATGTGTATGTGAGCATATGCATGCTGTAGCATGCATGTAGAGGTCAAAGAGGACAACCTCAAGTCAGTCCTCCCTTCCACCTTGTTTGAGGCACTCCAGACTAGCTAGCTTCTGGGAATCCTCCTGTCTCCACCTCCCATCTTGCCATGGGAGTGTTGGAATTACACCCTCATGCTACTGAACCAGCTTTTACTTGGGCTTTAGATAGCCAAACTCAGGGCCTCAGGTTTTTTGGCAAATGCTTTACCCACTGAATCATCTCCCCAGTGCTGGGTTTGGGTTTTTGAAATGGCTCACTGTTATTGCCCAAACTAACTTGGAACTCACTGTCCTCCTGCCTCAGCCTCCCAAGTGCTGGGATTACAGACATAGGCCACCATACCAGGAACTAAGTTAATTTTTTAAAAAGTACATTTATTTGTTTTATTTATTTAATGACTGATTGATTGTGCATGCGTATGCGTTTATTAAAGTGCATGTGTAGAGACAGGGAGACAACATTCAGGGGTCAGTTTTCTCCTTCCATCATGTACATCCTGGGGGCCAACCTCAGGTGGTCAAAGCTGGGAATGGTGGCACACCCATTTATACCAGAGGCAGGCAGATCTCTGTGAAGATTGAGGCCAGCCTGGTCTACATAGCAAGTTCCAGGCAGCTGGAACTATAGAAGACCCTGTATCACAAAACCAAAATACACACACACACACCCAAACACATGCATGCGTACACACACACACACACACACACACACACACACACCCCAAAACAAAACAACAACAAAAAACTCAGGGACTTGGCAACAAATGCCTTTACCCACTGAGCCATCTTGAAGGCCCAAGAGTTATTTTTTAATGAGGAATAATGATCATAAAAGCTACTGTTGCACACCTATGGGCTGATTCTTAGGAAACCCTCAGTATATGTGCATGTGGGAGTTTACTGAGATTAATTTGAGTACCTTCTCCTTGAAATTTCCTAAGCTCTGCTCCAGCTGTGGCCAGCCTGCTTCAGGATATAGACAAGAAACTGGTAGAGGCTCTTAGAATCTTTTACAGGAAATCATGTTCATTGTCCCAGTGGGGAGGGGAAAATGGGAGTAGAGAGAGAAAGTTGGGTGCTAGATGAGAAGCAGGGCCTTCTGTGTTCAAATGTCATGTGTGCACTGCACAAAGGCGGCAGGCCATGGGGCTGACTGGGGCTGACATTACTTGCAGACCTCATCAGTGAAGGAAGCTCTGAGGTTTTGTATTTTTCATGCCTGGCTGATTTTTTATTTTTAGTTATATGTATATGTGTGTTTCTGTGTGTGTGTATGCACAGTGTGTGTATAGGTCCTTCAAAGACTAGAAGAGGGTGTTGGATCTCCTGGAGCTGGAATTACAAGTGGTTGTGCTGGGAGCCGAACCCAGGTCCCTTAGAAGAGCAATTAGTGCTCTTAACTGCTGAGCCATCTCTCCATCATCCCCATCCCCTCTTTTTTAGACAGGGTCTCCCTGTGGCCCCAGCTGGCCTGGAACTCATTATGTAGACCAGGCTGGCTAGGGTTAAAGGTATGTGCCACCCCCTACCCCCCACCCCCATCCATGACCATTTTAAAATTTGGTTGTTCTGGGTGTGGTGGCACATGCCTTTAATCCCAGCACTTGGGAGGTAGAGACAGGTGGATTTCTGTGAGTTCAAGGCCAGGCTGGTGTACATAGTGAGTTCCAGGCCAGCTGGGGCTATAGGAAGACGCTGTCTCAAAAAAATAGATATGATATATAAGATAAAGATATATGTA